TTTTGAAAAGGGTCCTTACTTCCTTTAAAGATTGTGGTTTATTTGAAATCGCTACCTATATGAAATTTGACAGGGAAAAAAATTACATTTTTATGCTGATTGATCTAACGATAATTAAAATATTTTTTAAACCTAAGACCCTACCTTGTAATCATTTGCCCTTTTATTATGGATTGACCAATATTTAAAATTTAAACACTCTTTTTAAACTTATACCTTTATTACTATTTTAAAAAACATTTAGGATTGCAACAGGTTTCCTTAAATATAAAAATAATAAATTAAAGGAAGAAAACCACCCCTGCGCAACACACCCATCCGTGGCATTTAAATGCAAATTATTTATGTCTGATTTGTTGCGCATGGTGCACCATCCTGTCCTGTCCGCCTAAATATTTCACGAGGTGCGCCGTAAAAAAATAGTGTCTGGGATAAATTTTAAAGTTGTTTACAATTTCCCACGGGATCGGCAAACCAATCAATTGCAGACATTACCTACCTTCGTTCTGTACTCAGGTTCGCCATCACTTTTTTGTCAAAATACGTATAGGTACGAACGAAAATTATTGATTGTATACAGGGTTTCTAGTAATTAGTGTGAACAAGTGATTCTTGATTAATATAAAAAAATTAAACAAATTCTCAATTTCTCTTGTTTTTTTACAATTTTTATTATTTTGTTTAGGTTATGAAGATTGTTGCTGTGTTTTCTATACTTTACTGATTATAAGGCACTTAATGCTAGAATGCTAAATGGCTCGAAAAATAGGTAGGTAAAGAAACTAATTTACTTGCACTTGTGGGCCATTCTTTATATCATTGATTAAGAAACTCAACGCTTAAATGCTTATATATAGTTACGTTAGTGTGTGTATTTTGTCTCAGGGATCATGGTGAATTATTGTGTTTTTAATTGTAAATAAAATTCAAGAACTAAATCGTTGCATTTTCATGTTTTGCCAAAGGATCAAATTCGGTAAGTACATTTGTTGGTGCAGAACTATTGATAACTTTACCTAATATAATTTATATTTAAGTTTGGACATTTTTAAGAAATTCGTATAAATAATTTTTGAACAAACATAACCTTAAAATCAACCATTTTTATATTTAAGTTCTCTAAAAAACTGCATTTTAAACAACAAAATATACCTTCGAATTCATGGCAACATAATATTATATATAATACATAATATAATGGCATATAATGGCATTTTACCGTTGAGCTCAACAAGTCGACTTTAAAGAATTCTTAATCAACGCTTTTAATAATGCTAAATGCTGTTTAAATTTAGACGACTTATTTATTTGACAATACAATTCATTATAATTAGAACCAATAAAATGCCAGTATTCCATAGTTAAGCATTTTATCACAGCGACAATATTTTTTATCACCTTGTTTACACGTTACTAAGGATTTTGACACTTTTCTTGATTTGACATTTGTTGACATTTAAATACTGTGTTTGTTAAATGATTAAAATAATGAATTATAAACTCTAAAAGATCGATGGGTTGGTGTAAACGATAATAAAATTAAGGTAAGTTTAAATAAATAAGGTTTACTTATTTAAGTCTTTTTATATTTTAAAGCACATTTTTTAAATGTCAAACTGACAATTCGTTAACTCCTAAAATTCATTATATTTTCTCACTAATATTTATATAACTCGTGGTATCGATGATATTTACTTATTGAAACCGAAGCAGCACATTTCAATAGTCCTGCAGACTCGTGAAATCTGCAGTTCGGTTTCAATTCGAAAATATCATACCACTTGTTATATTATGGGTGTCGATTATGGGTGACGATTTTTACTGAATTGAAATGTTTACACTTTTCACGTTAATCATTACTAAAATGTGTATTTATATTATGAAATAGATATAATTTATATTTACAGAGACTGTATGAAATTTATTTCTTCGTTCGGATTAACACTGTTTATTCCATGGAAAACCGATAAAAACTCAAACCAGAATTTCCTCTCGAAATTCACCCAACAACACAACAAATCGTGCCACGGTTTTTTTTCGATATTTTTTAACATTTTCTGGCTTTATTCTCAAAAACACTCGTTTGTATAACACACGCGTTTGACAGCTGATTATCAAAGTTGTACTTTTGTTACGATGATAACAGCCGAGTGGTGGCGCTACTAGCGATACTTCTTTAGCGTATAAAGCTAAATTCGTTAGCTTCTTCCTTTTCCGCTGTCACGTGAGATCACGTGACTATTCTGACGCTGGAAAACTAGCGTCAAGCGTCCACCTGAATTGCCCCTTAAGTTTTATTTTTTTATACAATCTTACAACCTTTATAATCTGTGCTTTTTTTATTAATTAAAATTAAATTTTAATAATAAAGGATAAAAAATATCGTAATGGGGTAGTTAAATTTTTTCTGACCTATACTTTTTATGGTTTTATTCAAGGTGTTTTGTAATTTTAAACATTTCTGTGAAATCGGAATTTTAATTGAGTTTACCGTTTTCGAGATATTTACAAAAAAAAATCTCCTAATTACGTCACTAGGCTATTGACAACGTTGCCAGCTTTTTCTATGGTTGCCAGTGTGTTTAGTTTAAGATTCTTACGATAGATGGCGCCACGTTATAATATTTTAGTTTTAAAACGACTTGATCTATAATTTTAGTTGAGAAGAAGAAGAATTGATTTTTTGACGTTTCTTTTTTTGGGGTTATGTTTTTTTTTAATTTAGATTATTGAAAATCAATGTTATTGTTATGTTATTTGTAATTGATATTAGATAAGTGATTTATTAATAACGGACTCCAAAGCAGAGGAATCTTGTGGAATGGTTGGTTACATTGAACATGGGAGCTTTTAAACAAATAAAGTAAGTACCTATAATTATAATCATATTTTGTCGTAAATGCATTTCATTAGTATAATGCCTAGTTCTTTATATTATTTTAGATATATCTTGGACTCTAAAATATCAAACAGTAATATGATACCTCGTAATAAGGAAGATAGATACTTAATGAATTTGGTGACCATCTTTCAATCAACTGACAGTGACAGTATTTGTACATAACCTCTTCGGGTATTTTCTGACATAACCAAATGAAATCATTAACAAGACAACTTGACAACAGGGTAATTTTCAACCAATAGAAATCTTAGAATGTTGGTCACATGGCGAGGTTTGTGACGTCATAAAAATTTATATTTTTTGTAAATATCTTGAAAACGGTAAACTCAATTGAAATTCTGATTTCACAAAAATGTTTAATATTACAAAACGCCTTGAATAAAATCATAAAAAGTATAGGTCAGAAAAAATGTAACTACCCCATTGTAATTAAAAATTAATTTGGTATTGCAATTATATTAAATTTTGTTGTCCTTTATTAACACTTTAAATGCGGCACTAAGTGTCGCCCGGGGCATGGTTCTGTCTTTATGTCAGTGTGACAGCAAAGTTAAGCTGAAATGCCTTATGTGCTAAAGCGATAAATTATAAAGTTCCACACCGATTTAAGCGTAACAGGTAGCTGTAAGTATGATTTTAAAAGGAGCGTAAGATGTCACTACTAAATTGTAACATGCCCCCAAAGGCATGTGCCGCACAGCACCAATGTTTTATAATTTCTGTGCGGCCCATGCCTCCGGCGTCATTGCACCAGTGTTGACGTTTGAGAGTATTTTAGCCGAATATTGATTTTTGATAATCACACCAATTATTTCTTCAAAAAATTACAATGATTTACATCCTCAACTTAGGTATACACCTATAGGTGTATATATATACAATGTTGGCCATAATTTTTGAAATCACTGTAAAAAAATCCAACTCTAAAACGCCTTTATTATTCTTTATGAAATTTTGGATAAAAATACTTCAACTTATATTTCACGGCCATTTTAAGCGGATGGACGGGACAAATCACAAAACTGTTTTTATAAACAAAATTGTAGGTAATTTATTATATATTATTTTTGCATCAAAATTGTCAAATATATTCTTCTATTATTAGGCTATACATTAAATAAAAAAAATCGCAAGAAATATTTTATAAAAGTAGAGATAACTTCAATAATTGACAGGGGTGAACGGGACAAGATAAATCTTTTTTTTGTGCCGTCCACACCTTTCAATTATTAAAATTATATCTACTTTCATAAAATATTTCTTGCGTTTTTTTTTTATTTAATGTATAACCTAATAAAAGAAGAATATTTTTGACAATTTTGATGCCAAAATATTATGTAATAAATAATCTACAATTTTTTTTATAAAAACAGTTTTGTAATTCGTGCGTTTCACGCGCTTGAAATGGCCGTTCAGTTTTCGAGTTCGAGGGTTTTTCGAGAAAATATTTTTAAAGCCCTTTTATTTAATAATGAAAAACGTTCGAAAAATAACTTTTAGGGTTATTTTTTTAAGTATATAAAAATATGCTGTTAAAGACCGTATTTTTATTAGTATAACCTGAAAATTTTGTACAAATTAAACGAACAGTAACGAAGATACAGCGCTTCAAAGTCGGTAAAAATGGCCCCTTTTTGATTATTTTGCTGAAGTTTTTTTTACAGTGGTTGCAAAAATTATGGCCAACACTGTATATATAGGTAATAATTTTTGGTATATTGTGTGTGCTGAACAAGCCCCCGGAGGCATGTGCTGTTGTGGGTTATAACTTATAAAATAACCTTAAATTAACCTTCAAATTGACATTTGAGAGCTCTGATAGAAAAAGGTTTATTTTTTACAAATGATTAAATGATTGTTCTTACCACTTTGAGGTATCTTTTAAGGCTTGCAAGTCTCTCTGTAAGAAACAAAACGTTTAAAAAGATTATTAATCTGTACAAACCCAAAGCACAAGAATTGTAAACAACAAAAATGGCCGTCATTTTATGATGTGCAGTGTTGCAGTGATTTTTAGTATTTTTACTATGAGATCGAACAGACCTTGTGTGGATTGTGGTTTTGGGTACAAATAAGGTCCTGATAACAGATTAAACTACCTAAATACATTTAATTTATAGCACTACCATATTTAACATCCTTAATTATTTCTTTAAGGCTTTAGCCAATTGTTCGGTCAAAGTTTCTTCTACATTAAAAGGTTGAGCCAATGCATTATCTGGGAAATTTACTAAATTAAGGTTGGAATCTCTAAAAGTATAAGGTGTCCAGGGTCCTTGAATTGATGGAGTATCTGTGTGCCATAGTTTTCTATACCTTATACCAGTTTTGTCGTTTTGTTGAGATTTTAATAAATTCAACCATTTTATTATTTCTTCATTGGAGAAATTTGCACAATTTACCCATTGGGAGTCACCATTTACTAAAAATTTGAATTTTTATTATGGTATAAATACACATGAAATATAATTTAATACAGTATTCAGCCTTTATGACCGGTCCCCTATGTCTACGAGGTTTCAGGTATACACATATTCCAGGATTTTCTCTAGCAAAATGTACCAATTCTGACTCAATAAAATCTCTAAAAAGTAATTTGTTAAATACCTATATCAGGTAACACTAAAATTGCAAAGGAAAATATTGAATAATAAATTACCTCATTCCTCTACTGGATCCATTGTTCTTACAGAACTTTAATACTACTCTTTGTAATTGAGTAATGTATCTTCCTACTCCATTTTGTGAAACAGTCCTGATAAAATCAGGCTTAAGGAATAAACTTTTATTTGTCATTTTTAAAGAAAAACTGGGTTATGGTTTTTTGGTTAGTCTTCTTCTTCTTATTTATAACGGTTACCTAATTACGCGTATACTTTTAGAAATACGCAATGGATTAATTAATACACCGGCGAATATTTCTGCGAATTACAGAAAAAAAAATTACGCTAATTTCAATACAAAAACCCGTTTCATATAGATTTAAAAAACATAATAATAAATGTGAAGTTAGAAACCATAGAAAAAGGAAGTAGCAACGTTTTAGTTTATTAAAAGTTGGCATGACCTGGAGCAACGACGTGGACAAGAACATCTCAGACTTGTTCGGGTATCTTCGGCTATTTCCTTTCGATCTATTTCGGTTTTGCTTCTTTGGTGTTTTTGTTTTAATCCAACACAGAACATGATAATTACCATCGCGCATGCGTTAAATTCGACTCGATTCAAATTTCCTGCTGACTTGCGTGCCAAAGTATCACTCGGCCAGCGAATTTATTATGAATGAAACTTAAAGCCTTATTTATAGATTTACTTCCTTCCTCCCGTAAAAGATAAACAATACGAAAATCGTAGTGCCATTTATATATTTCCGTACGGGAATCTATAGCACAACGGTTTTTGTATTGTTCATCTTTTACGGAAGGAGGGAAGGCAGGAAGGAAGAAAGTAAATCTATAAATCAGGTTAATGCGTTGGTTTTTATGTTTTTATAAAGTTGGTATTACAGAACAAACCTTGGTACTATTCTCCACACCTCAAAGTCCCACCCATAGAAATAATATTATTTCTATGGTCCCACCACGTACGGAACGCAGTCTTTTGAAAATTTGGCATTTAAGGCTTTTCAGGTTATGTATCTGTCAAAGTATAATCATCGAAAAAAATACGAAGTGTAGGGGCCGAGGATGGCGCAGTGGGTTAAAGCTACAGAGCGGTAATCAATCTGCGCCACGGTACCGGGTTCGATTCCCGGTCACAGCCTTGGGTGTTGTGGTTGTTTTTAAGAGCAAAAAAATATATAATAATGAGGTGGCTAAATAGTCGAAAAGACTAAAAACCAATAAACCTTAAAAAAATACGAAGTGACTAGGCGCTCGTTAGAGTGCCTCCAATTTAATTTTTACGGGCACGCTATAATGACGTAATAGATAAAAAACGTCATCACTGGCGGCACGACAATTAAGAAGATTATATTCAGGAGCTTCAACTCCGCATGAGAATGGATAGAAAACGCGTCGTATCGTGTACAATGCGCACAAATAATTATTAATCAACGGCGCATAGACCGTCAACTCACGTGACAGACTGCACGTGCACTCATTGGTTGGAAGATTTACAACAGAAATAAAGAAGGTTGATTGACAATTGTCTTAAGCTTTATTTTAATTTTAAAAATTTTATTTAAGAAAAGCACTACATATGGGATGTTTATGCTGTGTTCAAAATTGTTTAATTTGTCAAGGGATAAAAAACCTACACATCAGTTATTTGAAATACCATGAGTAAGTTTATAACAAAACATTACAGTGTAATAATTACACCACAAAACTTTGTCTGATTTTACATTGCAAAATTCAGTCATTTTATACGTAAAAATACATTACTGATGACCAAATTAACATCATTACATGAATGTTTACATGTAAACTGCAGTTTACGTTTTCTGATACAACGAAAGTAATACTGATTAGTTCATAAATTTACTCACTGTTTTAACAAACTGTTCTGTTTACTACTAATATTTTATTATAATATAAAATATTAATATTAATTACATTATAATCTTCTTATTTACGAAATTGGTAAAGGTAAACATTGGTTTGACGCTTGACAGATGCACAAAATAATAGAGGTACCTTCTTTATCTCTGCAAAAGATGCGTAGAACTCAATTTTGCGTCCTCGGTCATTGTACACGTGCGACATGTTTGTGGACCCCCCACTCCTCGAATTTATATGGAGTTGAAGCTCCTGAATATAATCTTCTTAACGACAATAATAAATCAGATTTTATTCGTGAACATTTTGTAATCGAACTTACAAAAATAGGAAGAAAAATGTAGAACTTTTAAGCTCTGTACTTACAAAAATAGGAAGAAAAATGTAGAACTTTTAAGCTTTGTTTTCAAGATACAGGGTATTAACAGTTAATAAAAAAATATGGTTCTGTCACAAGTTTAATATTACTACCTTCGGTCATCTATGATTACTACTGATAGTTCTGTCACAAGTTTAATATTATATTTAATATTTTTCAGGCAAATAAACACATTTTTAATGATTAAACAAAATAGAGAAAAAATGCAGGAGACAGTTGTATTTTTTAGTTGCTTGAACCAAAAATAATATTGTCGTAGTAAGACAACTAGCGGAGATTTTTTATCGTATATAATACCACTAGTGGTAAAATTTTACCGATAAAATTTTTGATTTTTATACGAATGTTTTTTTCTTGGAAATTTCGCAAGTGGCATTAATTTTTAAGACCTCGAGCCGCTAGGCGAGTGGTTTGAAGTTAATGCCACGAGCGAAATTTCCAAGGAAAAATCTTGAGTAAATAAAAATCAAAAATTTTTTCAGGGAAAATTTTATCACGAGTGGTATTCGGCAAGACTATTTCACGAATATTTTTAACTGCTGGTTCAATTTCTGTATGATTTTTTGGACCAAAACGCATATTTTTTAACATTTTAATTTTAAAATTAAAAACGTCAACAGTGACAATTATTTTTATCATAGCAACCAATTGGTTGTTATGCAACTCGTATGAACGAGTGGTTTTTTCACCTGAATAGTAGTTTTATCGCTGCAAAACTGAAAAAACCACTCGTTTTCTGAAATCTGATTGGTCCAAAAAGTAATGAGTGGAATAGTCGCTGCAAAACTGAAAAAACCACTCGGTTTCTGAAATCTGATTGGTCCAAAAAGTAATGAGTGGAATAGTCATAGAAATTCCGCGGATTTATGGTTTTGTGGCTTAACTCAAAGTTCTTTGATTAAACTTTAAAAAATCAATAGCGCACCTACCAAAATTTTATTTTTAAATATCTAGTTGGGTTTCCTTAATTGAATTTAAATTCAATTCAATTGCTAAAAACCTGAAAATTTTTAATAAATTCGGCCCAAAATTGAAATTTTTGAAATAATATTTTTTTTAAATAATTTTATTTTGAAAACGAAGCTTTAAAACAGAAGTTCATATTAAATTTTCATATTATTTTTGCAAGTTCTATTGACTAATAAATTTTCCCGATTAAAATTGTAGGCTCCATTTATATACAGGGTGGTCCAAAAAAACCTAAAGGTTAAAGTTAATAAATTGAGAATCAATAAAAAACTTACATAGAAAATCAACAGTTTCAGAAATACAAGGTGTTAAAGTTAATAAATTGAGAATCAATAAAAAACTTACATAGAAAATCAACAGTTTCAGAAATACAAGGTGTTAAAGTTGCATATTTTTTTTTTGAAAAAAATTAATTTTTACTAAACTTAAGAACCTATTTTATTAAAATGTGGTAAGTATTGTTTTTTTATTAGGTACATTCGTTTTCATTTCACAAGCAGTGGCGTCAATACGGGGGTGATATATATTTTTAGAGGTAAGCAAATGATATATGCGGCAAATATGGCGCCAATATATGTTACTTACAGAAAAATACTTCAATTTTTGGCATTGCTTGGTATTGTAGACCTAGATGGCGTCACCTTAATTAATTTACTTCAACCTAGCGCTAGCGCTAGGGCAGTTTCCAACCTTTTGGGTGTATTATCTTTGGGCTCCATGCCTTGGTATCTTTTTAAAATTTGATGACAGCCCACAGAACATAAGTGACAGCCATTAATTTTTTTTCCAAAAGGGTCTTTGAATTTGAGGTTAAGTCATCTGTCAAATTAATCTTTTCTTTGATAACTTATCAATGATAAGATTTGCCGTATTTTTTTCAGAATTTTAAAATGGTAGAGCAATTAGTCCAGGAAACAAAGGTTGTAGAAGGAAAACTCGATGGTTGTCGGTTTTTTTTTTATGTAGGGTCAGGGGTGCTGATAATGAATTAAGAATATTCCTCAAAAATTTCATCAATGATAAGATAAGATTTGCCGTTTTTTTTTCAGAATTTTATGGAAAGCTTTAACCTTAACCTCAAATTCAAAGACCGTTTTAGATGACACCGCAGAAAATTAAAGAAAATAAAAGCAATTAGGTACCTAATTGCTTTTATTTTCTTTAATTTTCTGCTTTTACTTATAAAAGTAACTTTAGTTAATTTACCTATAGGTAACCAGAATCTAGTTTGGGCTTTTGAAAGTTAATTGATATATATATTTATATATATATATATATATATATATATATATATATATATATATATATATATATATATATATATATATATATATAGAATATTATACTATTTTTATGGTGTTAATCATAGAATAATAAAAAATAAAAAAACTCAATACTGCTATTATAATAGTAACTATTTATAAATGCATGTATAAATTACTTACAATATTACTTTTAATTTCCGAGAATTTAATTTATTTTATATAGTATAAAAACTGTTAAGGGGTTTTTGGTTTAAAAAATTTCTCCGTGTATAAATAAGTATATATTTATAATACAGTAAAAATTATACACTTAACAGGGCAAATAAAAAAGTATTGTCTATGGTTTAAATTATATCACAACACTGATATGCCAAGCACAGAAGTGATATCTACAAAATTAACTAATAAATAAACAACTTTCTCCAGAAAAAAAAACAAACATCCAAATACTAAAATAAATGTTTTAAGTTTGTTATATCTTAGTGTATTCAATTCCTTTCTGCAAAAAGTTGGCTATTTGTTCATTAATTTTGCAGGGGGCACCTGCAAAATATATGTTTAAATTTTAAAGTATATTGTAGGTAGGTTAGGTACTGGTAAAATTAAATGATTTATATAAATAACATATCACTTATGGCTTAGGTTAAAACTACACATAAATGATGATAAATTTCTAAAAATATTATACAATTAATCTCAGCAAAAGAAATTATCTATTATGTACTATGGGACTAGATAGTCTTTAATATTAAATGCTTGAAGAAAATAAAAATTATTTAACATTGATCAAATTAATAGTAAAAAACAACAATTATACTGGATGTCTAACTTGTAAGTCTATTCAATCTTTAGTCGTTTTGTGAATTCTTCTTGTTGCCTTTCCCTCCATTCTTTCTTCGGTTTACTTCTTTTAAGTTGGCCATCCCTAAAAAATCAAAATAATTAATAATTTGGTAACTCTTTTTAAAATAAAACATTTTTTTACTCTTGTAATACACTTAATATTAATAAATATTATTTCAGGGGTCTAATATCAAATTAAGCAAACTTCATTCGAGTAACATTTTCAGAAATTAAAAAATACGCGATTAAAAGATTTTCCTGAAAAAGTAATATGGGCAATAATTTAAAATTTTAATACATGTGATGGAGTTTGCTAATAAAAAATATTGGAGTGTGCTGTGTTTGATATTAGACACTGATGTATAAATAAAATGGTAGAGCAATTAGTCCAGGAAACAAAGGTTGTAGAAGGAAAACTCGATGGTTGTCGGGTTCCATTCGGTAATGTTTGATTACAGTAAGGTTAGGGATCGATTACTTTTAAAATTCTGCTATAATAAAAAACAAAAAAGTGATTTTGAAAGCAACGCTCAACTTTGCACAGTGCGCATAGCAAAAGGGCACATCATAAAGGTGCGCAATGGGGTTTAACGCAAGATACATACACCTTAAGATAGGATGGTGCGCATGTTGGGCGGGGCTTAATGACGTCACTTGATGAGTGTTTTTAAATCTTTAACGTGCTTTTTAATTATCTACTGCTAAAATTCTTATTTTTGCGATGCTTTTGAATGTTAACTTGCTCTACTTTTTGTTTAACTTGTCGTTTTTGTGTTCGGTAAGGTTCGAATTACTTTTCAGCGTTCAAATTATTGTTATTGCGTTAGGTTAACCTGTTAGGTTTGTTTATTATTGTTTTTGTTTGTATAGTGCCATTTGCATTTATTAAAATGCGGTGTGGCATATTTGGATGCAATTCGGACAACCAGTCCAAGAAAAACCCTTTAAATAAAAACATTAAATTTAATCGATTCCCGAAAAAGTTTGATTTGTGGAAACAGTGTTTAAATGCCACATAAATAATAGACAATATTTACGTTAAGACCGCTTCTGTTTCCTATAAACATTTTCTGGACAGTGACTATAAGTTTAATTTAAAACATCAACGCTTAAACTACAGCCCTAAATGTTATCAAGGACTGAAAGCATTTATTATCCATATTATAACACTTTCTTCAATATTAAGTTTAATAAAAACGCACTATGTCCAGAAATTTCTCCATTTTCTTTGATAATATTACTATTATTCGTGTATTCGCACGGCAACTACTCATCAAGTGACGTCATGCGCGGGACGAACCAAAACTCGTACACGGGAGCATCCAGTCCTGGGTTTAACGTATGCCTTATTTAGTACATAATCAAAAGTATTGGAGGTCAAATTCTTAAAAAATGCACGGTTAGCGAGTTATGAGCCAAAAAGCAAATGCTTTTATCAAGAAAACTAGGTTTTGATAGATATTGGTAACGGTTGTTCATTTGTAAAAAAAAACGTCATGGACATTAGCTGGCCATACACAGGCGATATTTCGCGCGGTCTATCGTGGCGTGTTGGGATGTAGCGGTTAGTATGCACGAAAGAACGGCATGGCAAAAAAAGCGTCATGTTCCATACACTTGATACCCTATTAAAAATGCCCTATAGAACCCATATTGATCCAGATAAGGAAACTAATATGGATTTATATGGTTCTATATGTCCTATATGGAACGACCTGGTTTACACTTTGGAATCTATATGGTTTAATATGGAATTTCATTTTAAAATGTACAACTTGGAGATTTTTATATGGATTTATCTGGTTTCTGTTTTATGTGTCTTTCCATATAGGTTTCCCTATATGGTTGAATATGGAATTCCATTTTAAAATGTATATAAATTTAAACGAAAATTGCATATTAAACCATATAGATTCCCCTATATGGTTAGATATGGATCTATATGGTAATAATTTTTTCACACCCAAACCATATTGGGTCAGATAGAGCAATATGAACCTATATGGCAATCCATATAGAAATCACTTTTCTATATGGTTTTCCAGGTATGGAATTCTATCTGGTTCAATAGTGCAATGCCTGTTTCAAATTCCTATATTGAACCAGATAGATTTTTATTTTGTGTTTCTATATGGCATTTTTAATAGGGTAAAGTATTCAAATGATTTACCAAGTGTCATTTATCGAGTTGTTTGAAACTGCATGTGCTCATGTACAAATTTTCAACGTGAAATTTTGCCAACCAAAGGTAAACCGTGACGCGGAATGTGGCGTGTGGACACTCCACACCCCAGAGGAAAGCACGTCTGAAATCCCTTCCCGTTCTATCATTGCGCGCGGCGATACTCACTCACGTACATGATTTTCCATATGTTTTTGCAGATAACACGATAAACCGCGCGCAATAACGTCTGTGTATGGCCAGCTAATAGCTGAAAAATATTCGCGCTTAAGCGGCTGCATTAAGTTTAACTTTATTGCCAGAAAAAAACAAGGATCGCTACGAAAAAGAATATCAAGCACTTAATTTGGTTGGAATTTTTGGTGCTTGCAAGGGCGAAGAAATTGTTTCCTTGACAATTGAAAACATTACAGACGTTGGACGATTTATAATAGTAAAACTACAAGACATAAATCTTCCCGAAGGTTCACTATTGCAGAAGACGATACAAGAGTTGTGTTTTAAAGTCGACGATTTTTTGTAGACTACAGAAACAGCAAATGCTCCAAACAGCGTGTAGGAATTTACAAATAAGTAGGAGCTCTATAACAAACAGCAAAATTTATAAACTTGAAGAATTCTGAATATTACAGTGCATTGCTTTAGAAGATCGTCAGCCAGTTTGTTCGCGGTAAAGGGTGGCGATCTCCTTACCTTAAAACAATTTGGGGGCTGGAAATCTGTAGCAGTTGCTGAACAGTATGTTAAACAATCAATTACCACGAAAAATAAAATTTCGAAGCAGCTGTTTAAATAAACGGACAATGATTTTTTAACATCATCCTCAAGTGATAGCGTGAAAAGAAAAATAGCAGAAACTGTCGATAAAAAACATCACAACAAAGATATTGTCCTTTCTAATATAAACAACTGCGTAATTAACTTCTACACTTGCTTTGTTATAAAATAAAATTGTAAATAATTTGTAACTAAAAAATGTATATCAATTTACAGTCGGTATATTGCATTTTGTTCAATACCGACTGTCAGTGTAGGAATGACAAATAAAACTTTTTTGAACAGGAAAATTGGAAGTACATTTTATAAAACTTTCACTGCAATGGTAGGCCTAGAAAGTTTTTTTTCATACAAGTATTGTTTCTCGAATATATTTATCTTAAAGAGAAATCATTTTGCAATGGTCTTACAAAATTTCATCGGATTATTGCAAATGAGTCGTGAGTTAGCAATTTTATTTTTAAATGTTGTAAAATTATTATACTAAAAATAATAAAAATTGTGCAGAATTTAGATTTAGTTATTATCGAGGGGTAAAACACTTTAAAATCAGCGAGACCAGCGTTCAACGTTATGTGGACGTTGTGTTTTGATTTTTTCCTGTAGAAACCAATTGAAGTATTGGTTGGTATCAATGGGTCTGAATTGGACTTACTGGATTTAATTGGGCGCGATATAAAACAGAAATTGGTTTTCATGATGGAAAGTCCAATTGAGATTCTAATGTTTTTTATTGGTTTTGATTGGATAAAGCTACCCTGCTTAAAATACCCCATAGGGACCTATACAAAATAATCTATCGGGCGCTACCGGATTCAATATGTGCATTTGTCCATGGTTTTTTCCGGATACGGCCCGATAGAAAATGTATAGGAAATTACCTATAGGCACACCATAACTTTTACATTTTCCCTATTGAGACCGATAGCAAATAACTCAACGAAGGATATATAGGGATATCCCTATAGAGCAACCATAAGACATTTGTCAAAATTTTATTAAAACCTATAGGGTTCTATGGGGAAAAACTAATTTCTACATTTATGTGTATTTTCCCCATTGAAACTAATAGTAAATAAATCAAGGGTGGATATCCCTATAGAACAACAATAAATCCCAACTATGGGTCCTATACATACCGATACACCCTATAGAAACACCATACATTCCGATACAAATATCTATCGGTTTGAACAGGGTCTCTATCGGTTTGAACAGGGTATTTTAAACAGGGTACCCATGGGTAATTTCCAATTAAATTCAAATGGGCATTTCCAGTGTAAGATTCGAAAAAGGAATCTTTAAATTATGGAAAAATCCAATTAGGATTCTACTGTTTTTTAGCGATTTCGATTGGATAAAGCTACCTATAGGTAATTTCCAATTGAATTCAATTGGGCATTCCCAGTGTAAGATTGGAAAAATCTGCTAATTGGTTATTCCCAATACAATACATATATCGCAAGAGGGCTCTCGTGTAGCTGCGCAAAACCAACGAGGTTGCCTACAAACATCCTTTGCAAAAAATACAAAAAAATGATTATAACCGAGTAATTTTATCAATTTTTATTACTTTTTTTGTGATAGTAAGTTTTATGTATCAATACATACATATATCACAAAAAAAATAATAAAGAAATAAAATTACTCAGTAACAATAAATTTTTTGTCTCTTCTGTGAAAAATTAATTCTGGTTTTTACCCGGTTATCCTTCTGGGATCTAAAATTATTTTTGAATGAAAAATAAACTGGTAGGTATTTTCTAATCCAAATTTAAAAATATTAATTGGTTCTAATTGGTTGGAATGGGTTTGGCGCTATGAATTACCAATTCATTACAAGTGTATTTCTATTGGATTTAGCCAATAGAGACAAGCATAGGTATGGATTGGTATTTTCCAATCCAAACCTCTGACTTCATTGGAGCTTACCAATATAACTGGAATGAATTGGTGATTCATAGCGCCAAAACACATTTCAAAGCAATTCAAACCAATTACCTATTTTTTATTGGATTCTATTGGTCATTTACAATAAATAGGCGTCATTTAAATTCGCGATTATTTACGCCACTGTTCATGACTTAAGGGTATGAAAAGGCCATATAATTTCAGACATAAACTTAAACTAATAAATTTTTATATTTAAACTTACCAAACTAAATCAACCAGGCCTCCTTGCTTAGCAATGACACTCTTAACTCTGTTGGCAAAATCAATCGCCGATTCATCTTTATCCTGATGCATGGGTGGCAAGTACCACACATCGCACACGATTGCCCAGCTGGTCATCATCATGTACAGATACTGCATCATCGAGTACTTGCTGCTGTTCCAAAAAGCGTCGCCGAATCTAGGATCGTATTTGATGGCCACTGGATAAATCACGCTGCCTACTTCAAAACTGCCTTTTTTAAATTGCATAACTGACGTGTTGTTGATGCAGGTTCCTTCAGGAAAGATTAGAATCGGAGGGTTTTTGGGGTCTGATACGTGTTCTTTCAACCTTAAAATATAAATTTCGAATGTTAAACACTTTAGTATTTTTTTTATTTTGATACTGTTTTCAATTTTGTGTTGTAAAATAAATCATTTTATTTAAAACCGTAATAGTTATTTGTTTTACAAGTGTTGAAAAGCGACTTTTTCATGCGAGTTTTTAAGTTGCCCACGAGGCCGTTAGGCCGAGTTTGCATTAACGCGAGCTTGAAGAAAGTTTTTCTCACAAGTATAACACAATGTTTTTTCTGCGACCCTTTTATTTTTTATTATTTTTAAATACAAAACAAAATAACCTAAAAACTTTTTTGACAGCTGAATGTCAAACGATGAAAAGAAATTGACATCAATGTCAATTTCTTTTCACACAGACCTGTCACTTTTCACACAGAAATGTCACTTTACATTCGTGTTTTGCCTTGCCAATGAAAAGATTCATTTTCTAAGCAACGATGCCATCATGAAAAGTGACTCTTACATAGTGGTCGTAGAAAAAATATTTTACGTAATGATGACATGTTTGACATTTAAAAAGATGGAAAACCTCATTTTTTGAACCACAGAAAGTTTTAAATGTAAGGGAAATATTACTGCTACCAAATGATGAAAATAAAAACGTATGGAACCTCGGTAGGAAATGTTATTTTTGTCTCGCTCCGCGCCTCAATTAATTGTATATAAATTAGTTAACTCTCCTGACAGTAATGAAACACTTCCCACCTCAGTATGTAAATTAAAAAGTAATGGTGGAATTATGCAGCACAAATTAACATTAAGTTAACATTAACATTAAGATTAACATTAAAAAGTTAAGATGAATATTCATCTTAACTTTTTAATGTTAATCTTAATGTAATACAATGGAAGCATTTATGCAATCACATTAACATGAACATTAAGCATAAATACCCTCCTAATGGTTAAATTAATCTTAATCTTAATGTGTGCTGCATAAATCCACCATAATTAGACCAAAAAATAACAGTGAAGGTACATAAATTTACAACAGGCTGAAAATCAGTAAAATTGTTCAGAATATAATTATAAATAAAATTTTAAAGTTCCACATCATTCCCCTGTATGGAAAAATTTTTATTCAAGGTCAAATGTCAAAAAAATTAGTTTTATCACAAAAATATTTCTGACAAAAATTGTAGATCATAAAATTGTCTATAAAAAATATATCGATACTTTTTTTCCTAAGAGCCACCGTTTCTGAGATATAACGATTCGAAAAGTTGTAAAAGTTGTAATCGTCATAATATACATGAGTACGTCACGTATATACATCTTTAGAGTTTTAATATATGTTAATATATTTTTCTATCGGTCATTTTCACTTACACTTAAAATATAAAATATACCTACATAAGTTATAACTATAAGAATATCAAGTGAAATAAATTAATTAATTTATACGCCATCGAGACAACATCTGTGACAGACAGTGTTGCCAACTGCTTGAAGTAGCTATGCACTATATAGCAATGAAAAATGCACTAGAAAAGCACCAAATTCACTTCGGTGTAAATCCACCCGATCAGTAATGCAGTAGTCTGAATTTCACTCTAGATGAACACAATGTATGAATGAGCAACCATGAAATAATTTTAAAATTAAACTTTATTAAGCATAGGCATTTCCACACTGGTAAGCCATTGCTTTTGGACAGGGTCCTTTAGCCAGACTGCTCGACATTGGTGCTCATATTGTGGTTTCGGAATCTAAAAGTATAAAAACAATAAAGCGCTGATAATTAATCACTATAGAACTAAACCATACCATAGAAAAGAATATACTATTCATAGAATAAGAATATGTATACCATACTAGACTTCTTTTGTTATTTGAAACAAACATAGAAAAATAATACATCGAAACAGAGTTTCTGTGAAAGAATTCAACAAACAAGCCAATCGCAGAAGAGCGGCAGCGCAGTATGTTCTGTGCGCAGTATGTTCTGTGCGCAGTATGTTCTGTGCGCAGTATGTTCTGTGCGCAGTACTACCTTTATAATCTGTGATACTACCCTAAACCAAGTTTAGGGGTACCACCACCACAGGTATATGCTACCAACACATCGGCGCAGGGGCTTATTCAGATTTTCTGAAAGAAATGTGGGCTGTGAGTTGTATGATTAAAAAATTCTGAAAATAAAACCATTGTAAAAACGCCTTTTCATTGTTATTTACCAAATTTGGTTAATGATCGATGATGCACTAGATTTTGCACTAGCGCACCAAAATCGAATTCCGGGCACTAGATGGAGGTTCAATCCACCAGATCTAGTGCAATATGCACCGACTTGGCAACACTGGTGACAGATGACAGACGATCTGTCATCTGTCAACTTGACATCTGTCATCTGTCACCTGTCATTTGACCCTGTCAAATGCCACCTGTCATTTTCCACCTTATCGATTTGATTTCGGGGATTTTAATTGGTTAACTTTTTTAAATACACAACAAAAATTAAACGGGCTTCTGGCCGATTAGTTTTCATTGGATGAAGCTCATCTTTTAGTATGTCAAACTTTTACCCGTCGATTCGTGTATTTCGTTCGGCCAATTTCGAAAATTTCTCTCGCCATAAAAACCGTTTAAAATTTTTTCGAAAAAAATAAAAAAAGATCGAAAATTTTCCGGCGGATCCGGCCCGTTTGCAATATTTATTTTTTCCGTTGTCTACTAGTCTGTATATCCTTTTTTTTCTAAGCGCCGTAGCTCGGAGGCCGTTGAAGGCGGACACTCGAAATTTGCATCCTTTTTTTCGATTTTTCCGTCAAATTTGGCACGTTCCGTTGTCTTCGGCCAAACTCGAGGAAAAGGTGCTTCGGGACAAGAAGCTATCACCAACGGCATTCGATTTCTTCTTTCTATATACGGAGCTCCTAAAAGAACTACCTGCTTTGATAAGTATCGATATGCATGTTTCGTTAAAAATACTAAAATAAAAAACAAGTTCAATTAGCTTGTCTTCCTCCAACCTCAGTTGCTGCTCATCAAAATATTTTTCGGGTATATTACCAAGTTCAAGTGTGGCTTGGTTATCAGCTAGACCCTACAGACTGGGGTTGGAAGTTGGTCAACAACCCATTAGAACCAGTTCAAACTTTACTCCCACCTGCGCCGGAAAAAATGCTGAACACTATTTTTTGCAACTGCAAAAAGGGATGCAGTGCTAAATGTGGTTGCAAAAAAGTCGGACTGTTTTATTCTCTGGTATGTACGAATTGTCAAGGCCGGGCGTGCTCTAATGTTGAATCACCAATAGTGGAGGATTCATTTAATTCCAACGAGGTGACATGCGATACATCGCTACTGACGCAATTTACTTGTACCCAGGATGAAGATGAACAAGAAGAAGAACAAGAAGAACAAGAACAAGTAGAAGAATAAGAAGAAGAATTTAAATGTTACGAATCAGACTAATTAACTTCAGTACTTTTTTTTAATTTACATCGCTTTTATCTTTTCCAATCATTGCTAAGTTCCGTTATTTTGCAATAGTTTCAAATTAAACAGGATCACAACTGACCCGTGGAATAGGCTACTGGGGAAACCACTTTAAAAAACGCGCTAAGTACACTACCTCATGGGTGGCGTGGAAACGTGTGCATATTATGACGATTATAACTTTTTCAACTTTTCGAATCGATATATCTCAGAAACGGTGGCTCGTAGAAAAAAAAGTATTGATACATTTTTTATAGATAATTTTATGATCTACAATATTTGTCTGGGGTATTTTATGATAAAATTTACCTTTTTGTCGAAAATCGCGAAAAATCATTTTTTTGACCTTTGACCTTGAATAAAAATTTTTCCATACAGGGGAATTATGGGGAACTTTAAAATATTATTTATAATTATATTCTGAACAATTTTACTGATTTACAGCTTGTTGTAAATGTATGTACCTTCGAATGTCTAGATTGACCGGACTAACAGTTTTAAATTAAAATTTTAATCTATAACACTACTACAAAATTTAAATGTAAATTTCGACGGCCTAAAATATTGATTATCTCTTTAAATTTAAAGAGATAATATAACTAATATCAAAACAATGGAAATTTCTAGTTAAGTAGCAAATCAAAGTTTGTAAAAAAGCTTTTTGAAAATTGATTTTGACAGGCTTTTTCCGAATTTTCACGTTGCCACCTCGTATATTTGCTGCTAAAAAATGGCACCCAAAAACAGTGTTTTAACCCCCCGCCCACCCAACCTATCCCTTGTCTATGGTTTTGACAATATCTCCATTCCGACTCATTTTATGGTAAAAATAGTTATGTAATAAATTAGACACATCTAAACTTTAGAGTCTAAAGTTTAGACAAACACAGGTTTGTCGACATACATCCCACATACGTATACAAAGTAATTAGTAATAGCAGTAACATTAATGTTTGTGCTTGGTTTACAAATTGATGATGCAACAATATAAAGGGCCGTGCACCCCCTTGGCCTACGACTTATTTTTTAAACTTGAAAACCGTATTTTTTTACAAATATTTTATATGAAAAGAAATATGCTGTACACACAAAAGTTTTACCTCGACATTTAAATAATTTAGGTTATCCATCTCGTCAACTTAATATAACAAGGTTGTATGTTAAAACGAAAAATTTAAGTATATGTGTCTACAGGATTATATGTGGCCTACGCTTCACATACCACTTAAAAATAATTCTATAAAATGTATATTGTATGTATACATATATATATAGAGTTATTTTCAAGTTGTATGTCAAGGGTGGATTACATAAAACGTTGTAGATGCATAAACTCAAATTTTTCGGTTTTTAACATACAACCTTGTTATCATAGAAAAAGGATATTAGGGTGACGATCTGTCAGTAACGGTAATTTTGTCTTATTTTAAAAATCTAATAATTATAATTTTATAGTATTTTTTTATAAATTAAGACTTTTGTACCCAAATACATACTTATATTTTAGAAAATAACAAGAAATTTGCGTTAAACTGACTGATAAATAACTTCAATTAGGTATTTATATTCAAATGTCAACGTGGAACTTTTGGGTGTGGAGCATAGTTCGTTAAAAAATAAAAATTTTGAAATACAATGTGCAATTTGGGCGATAGTATTTATATTTTTTGTATATTTATATTTTTATTTTATATATATTTATTTCTATATTTATATATTTCATGATAAAAAAATTACGTGTGGATATAAGTTTATTTACGGATAAACGTTATGTTGACATTTCTAACAAATTTTAACTTTCACTTCCATCTCACAAGAACGGGAAGTGAATACAAATTTTAAATGTAGGCAAGAGAAAACTGTATTACTGTTACAAAATGTTAATAAAACCGTTTACAAACCTCGGTAGGAAAATTTATTCCTGTCTCGAGATTTTCCAGTCATCATCGGCGCCCTTCGACAGTAATGAAACATTTCCCACCTCGGTATGTAATATACTATTTTTTTTTCAATACGCGTGTTAGATCCATGGAGTAGACTTGGTGGCGATTGTTCTATGAAACTATTTATTTTACAAAAAATCGGGTTATATGAACTTGTATCTAGTTTAATTTATCATATAGCTATTTTCATTATAAAATGCTTAAGTCAGAAAAGAGATACCTATTGTCAAAAACCTCTTAAGAGGTTTTAATTTTTAATTGCCATTTTTTTAATATGGCGGCTGAAGAGGCAAACATCTGAGGTGGCAAAGAAAAAATTCGAAAGATTACGACGTCTATAAAAATACCAATTTTCAAACCTACCGGAAAACTTTCCAGCACCAAATGACTAGACTATAATTTAAAAACATCTTTCAGTTTCTAAATAAAAAAGCAGAACAAACAATTTTTAAGTTAACATTTTTTCAGCCACTTTTTGATCAACTTGTATAATATATAGAATAACATCTAAGTACCTATTAGCGACAGCATGCCTGTCACGGACCTCAGACCGTTCGAACCAAATATGGGGAGAGGCCCTGGCTAGGGCTCTTTGAAGAATGCCCAGGAAACCTCCATGACGTTGTCCAATCTAGATTTTGTGGAAATTATATTTAATAAATATGTTTAAGAAATCAATAAAAACACCAAAGCCAGTTTTTCTTAAAAAATGTAAAAAAATAATGACCCACCAAATACACAAAAATATATTTTATTTGAATCCAACTTAATAGGTATGTTTTAAATAAATATGCATATTATGCATTATACATTTGTACGATTTATCTAGTAAATTTTAAAAACAAAATAAATTTTAATTTTTATGGAACTTTAAATACCTTATTTTATTAAAAACAAAAAAGTCCTAAAAAAATCGATTGCATTCTGTTTTTTTTAAATTATATTTTTGTGTATATTTATCCAGAATTAAAATTAATATCACACAGTCAAATTAAACTTAAAAAATGTTAAACACGCTGCATTATTTTTATGTATTCTCTTTTGTTATATTGCTACAAAATGTAATGTCCCCTTGAGAATAATATTAGAATATATATACATTTAACTAAGATTATAATATATTATATACATATGTATATTTGTAATGGGTAAATTTAAACGTTAAAAATTATTGGGCCTGTATTAGGTCCAATAAAAATATTTAGCTCACAAATATAAACGGCACTTTTATAACTTTCATATACATAAATCGATATATATTTAATAAAAATTATCTATCCAATATTTCTTGACTTTTGATGCGTTAAAAATATTCTTTATTTATTAAATGGGATACAAAAATGTGGTATGAAAAATTTAATTTTTTATTAACCAAGGGACCATCAGGAGCGCATCACGCGATTTTTGATTATTACGTCATAAAAACAACCTTGGTCAAATAAAACATCGGTAAGATTATAAGAATTATAAAAACGTTTTATTGATTTTATCATTGAAAATGTTATCAGGCTTATTCGAATCTTTGTAAGATAGCTACTTATTTTTAATTAAAAATTTTAAATCAAAATAATCATAAAAATTAATTATGTTCAGAGTGTATATTGAAGCGGCACGGTGCACATCGCTCGCAATATTTCCAAGTTTATATAGTGCTTTTTGTTTTAAAAAATGGATGAAAATGATGATGATGGTGATGGGGGGACGTTCGAACTTGTTAAGGATAGAAACAAACGAGGTAGAGATCCTGATAGCCCCGATATTGAATTAATAGGATTTGATAATAATGGAGAACCAAAACTTCAACCTCATAAAAAACGCGTGACGGAAGACCTCGGAAATAACAAAAACGAACCCACAAAAAACAACAACACTGCACACAATTCCAATCAAAACAAAAACCAACATCCACAAAAAAACATCAACTACAGTGACAACATGAATGCTATTTTGCACAAAAAATTTAAACTTATGTACTTTATCAGTCCTACCAACATTGATACGACTCGGTTATTCATGGCTGATACATGGGAAATCGAATTCCCTAAAACGAAAGACGTCATAATCAAAACAAAACATGGATTTCTCCTCAAAACAGACACCGATAAGAAAATTATAGTAAAATCGTTGGAAAACCTGAAAACACACTCAATAATTAAAGATTTTAAGGAAACTGCACCGAACACAAGTCCATCTAGGCAGATCAGCGCCCCGTCGTTTTCTGTAGTTATAAGCAGAGTAGAGACAGAAATAAGTGACATTGACATCAGCAATCATCTCAAAGAAGAAGAAAAACCACATCGATATTGCAAAAGAATTATTTCAAAAGCCACCAACAAACCCACCACACTTATAAGAATAATAACAGCTAGTGAAATAACATTTAAATCCCTGCTTCAAGATGGATTTTTCTACAAGAGCTGTCACTACCCAGTCTATCCTAGCACCCCACCCCCAGCTGCTCCCAAACCTTGCATCAAATGCAACTCATTTAACCATACTACTGAAAATTGCCAAGAAAAAACAACCTGCAACAAATGCTCTGGAGACCACGCAACTAACAAATGCACTACAAATCTTGAACCTAAATGTACTGCCTGTAATGCTATTGATCATCAAGCATGGTCATTTAAATGCCCCAAGCGACCAACAACTCCTATACCAGGCATTCCTAACATGCCAATTAAACCAATTAACCAAAAATCTAGAGAACTACCAGAGGAAATTAAAAAATCAAGGATTCACTCTTCAATTACCATCCACGATCACATAATAAACACATACATCAACACTCTAAATGATGAAAAAAACAATGAGGAAAAAAGGGAGGAACTTATTCAAAAACTAAGGAAAATGTTTGTAAATAACTTCAAGATTGACACCCAGGCAGTATTTTCTGGAACCCGAATGTATATCCTAATGTTTGACCTGGAAAAACCCAACTCCGAATCCCCCACAAAACCATCCACGGAGGAAAATATAACTCAATATGTCAGTTAAAATTCTATACAATAATATAAACAGCTACTCAAAACGAAAACTTAATATTGATAACTACATACAACAAAACAATATCCAGTGTACAATGTTTGTAGAAGCTAAGATCTCCCAGAACCTCAGTACCCAATATAGGGACTGGAACCAAGTATTACAAAAGGGAAATCAAATACACAACAAAACACGAGGAGGGAGTCTTGTACAAATGCATCCATCCATAAAATTAGGCAAGGCAAATGCCCCAAGAATAAACAACCCTTTGAATGAGGTAATACATTTTACTCTTCCATTCTTCAATGACTATCTGCATGTCTTTTTAGTATATATACACCCTCATTCCAGAATAGAGGAAACTATTTTTACAAAAGCTTCCCTGTACAAATACTCCTTGATTGTTGGAGATTTTAACGTAAACAGACAAAAAAAGAAACAATTATCAACATTTACAAATAATACCAACTTTGTACAACACTCTACAGCCCCCACCTTTCTCATGGCCAATAATACTGATAGTACACCAGATATCATCCTCTATTCTGAAAATTTAAAAAATAACATTGACAAAATAAGCCTTGTTCCTGATCTGTGTTCTGACCATCTGGGATTTCTTATAGAAATAAACAACATTACACAATATCCTTACCGCACCCCCGAAATATGGCTATTTGATAAAACCAATATAGAAATTGTCAACAGTAATATGGCCAACTTTTTAACATCCAAACCAAATATGGACAGGCTCCACATAGACAACTTTCTTGAAACTCTAAAAAATGCAGTTATGGAAAATACTCCCAAAAAAGAAATCAAATTTTACACCCAAAAATTACCACCCTTTATCCTAAAATTAATAAAAAGGAAACGAAAACTTTATAGAGAATACAAAAATCTGGGAGATCCGCTATTAAAAACAGAAATAAATACTTTTAACAAGAACATTCAAAAATTAATTCATCAATACCGACAACATAAATGGATAGAAGCTTGTGAAAAAATCCAAGAAAACTATGGAAGAACTTACTGGAAAGAAATTAGTAAACTAACTAAGTATAAGGGCACTTCGAACCAGTTTAATACACCCCTGGTGGACAACGGCAGAACATACGAAACGACTAATGAAAAACTTGAACTCTTTGCAGACTATTTAGAAGACACCTATAAAGAAAGTACTGATGCAAATTTCTGTGTAGCCCACTATAATGAGGTCTCGCAATGGTATGCCAACTTCAAAGAAGAAGACCTTCCTTTGACAGCTGAAAGCGTTACGGAGGAGGAATATTTTAATATCCTTTATAAAGGAAAAAACACAGCTCCAGGCTACGACTGGATTACCAAGAAACTACTAAGACAGCTAGACTACGAAACACACTTGGAAATTCTGAGAATATATAATTATTGCTTAAACAACCAATATTTTCCAGAAAAGTGGAAAACTGGCATTATTATAAACATTCCAAAACCCAACACCGATAAATCCCAAGTAAAAAACTACAGACCTATAACTCTCCTGACAAACTTGGCCAAAAATTTCGAAAACATTTTATGCAACAGAATTACAGAAGCAATAGGACACACGATTCCTCGCTATCAGTTTGGGTTCCAGAAGAATAAGTCAACCATTCATCCTCTGACAATACTTATTAATAATATACAAACTTCACATTTGATGGGAAGAAAAACCACGGCACTGTTCCTAGACATCAGCAAGGCATTTGATAGCGTCTGGCATAAAGGGTTATTATACAAACTGCACCAGCTAAATTGCCCAAACAACATCCTAAAAATACTTATGAAATTTTTAGATAACCGGAGTCTGCAGGTATCAATAAACAATAAAACCTCAAGAAACTTCATAGCCAAACAAGGACTGCCCCAGGGTTCCCCTCTCTCCCCTCTGCTCTATAACCTTTATTGTGCCGACATCTACAATGAAGATCCCATGCTCTTTGACCAAGATAAATATGTACTTCAATACGCAGATGACACCGCTATAATTTGCCATGGTAAAAATCAAAAAACTGCCTCTGACCAACTTCAAGTTCTGTCAAATCAAATCTTGGCATGGTTTAACAAATGGAGACTAAAACCAAATCCACTAAAGTCTCAACTAATACACTTCCACCAAAACAAGATTAACCCTAATATAACAATTAAGATGTACAATGACATAATAGAGCCAAAATCTAACATAAAATACTTGGGAATCACACTGGATAATAAAGTAAACTTTAATCTTCACTCTTCCCTGTCAAAGAAGAAAACACTAACAAGGGCCAGCCACTTTAGAGGACTTACATACAACAAAAAAGGCATCAATGATGAAACAAAAAAAAGAATATACACCTTAATATGCAGACCAATCCTGGAATATGGATGCATCTTACTTAATAATGCCCGGAAACCAGCCTTAAGCAAAATTAAAACCGGGGAAACCTCATCACTCCGAAAAATATCCAAAATGAGACATCCAACCAATTCTCTACACAACCCTCCCAACGACCTTTTGTATGCTACCTACAATATCTTACCAATTATGGAAAGATTTATCAAATTATCTACAAACTTTATTAGCAAGGACGCTAACTACAACATTCTGAGCGAGTTGTGTTTGGAGGTACAGGGCAACAGGAAGTTCAA